CCGGAGCAGCTCATCAGCAGCCAGCTCAGCTCCTGTGAAGGAATGCCAGGAGGAGAGCAGATACTGTTGGGCCATCTAAATCACGTGCAGAGTTATTCACAGGCAAGGATTTACATAAAACTCGCTTTTGTTTCCCTGTGACATTTTTCTCTCTCTTTTTTTCGTTCCAAACAACTTTAAAAATAAGGTTATATTAGACCACACACACGCAGCGCTGTATCATGTCGCTGCTTCTTAAGCAGAGCTCTCTAATTTATTTCAAAGGGAAGTTCTGCTTCAAAATTGAGGGTGTGATATGAACTCAGAAATTAACGCAAGAATTTTCCTTGGGGGGAACCAAGACTGAATCAGACATGCAATAAACGACCTCGGAAGCCCTGCACCTCAGTACATCCACCTATCCAACAGCACGCTTTAACATAAAATATTATTTTCACCATTATCCCGTCTCAAGCTAGGTAGAAGAGCTGGAAAAAGTGGATTTGCTGTTTTATTTATTCATGCGTCTGTCTGCTAAAACACTTATCCATCATCAGTCGCTGCACTCCTAACGTCCTCTGCCAGGAACAGAACCACTCATGGGGACAGGGCACTGTCATGGGCAGGTCCCATAGCACAGATCCTGCTACCAGGAAGCCTGCCTGGTGCTGGTATTGCTCTTGTACTGCTGGATCCGCACAGGGCTGCAGCTGCCAGCCTCTGCCAAACGGGGCACCACACCTGGAGAGGGATGCATCAGCCCCTCACAGGGACAAACCCCAGCTGAGTGGACACGGGGGACTTTTCCCACTCATTTCAACAGAATCAGAACATCAGGAAAAAAGAACATTAAAACCACTGCTCCGACAGAGCAAGCCAGCATAGAAAGACCTGTATAAAGAAGCAGCTGAGCTGCAGATTTCTTTCATGAAATGCTGAGAGCACAACAGCCTCCCTCCAAAGGATGGAGCAGATCTGGGGAAGGGGCTGTAGCAGCAGCAGCAGCCAGTCCCAGTTCATGCTCCTCCAGCGCCTGTCCAGCACAGGGCAGCATTAAAGCTTTGCCCCTGGGATCAATCTTCTCCTTCTAACCACTGAAGGAGACTTCCAGCTCTGTGCTTTTTGACCTCATGATACACATTTGGGACCTGTGGCAAAGTGCAGTGGCTGCACTTTGATCTTGCCCTGCCCAAGGGGACATTTCAAGCCCACTGAATGGAAAGCAAACTTGAGGAGCTGGGCAGATCTCGGGAGCATCTGCATTATTTCCTAGGCCAGCTGTCTCACGTGGGGGCTGTCAGTGTGTCAGAGATTTAGAAGGTACCACCACCCTTTTGCTCCTACATGAGCTCCAGTTAGAGAGCTTAATAGTGAAGAAAATGATTTTCCAAAGAAATGGAGGCCCTGTGTTTCTCCCAGAAGAACAGGACATAGCCCAGCTCCTCAGCTTCCTACCCAGAACATTTACATCCTGCCAGCCCACACCCCACTGGTGCCTGAACACAAGAGGGGTGCAGTGAAGGTGGGAGGACAGAACCCCCCACAACCCAGGCAGTGCACAGAGCAGAGCCCAACCTCTGGGCATGGGACGGGGCCGTGCAGCCCCTGCTTCACAAACCTATGCACAGAAGGAACTTATAAATGCTCCTTCTAAGATTTAACTACCACATGGTACAAGATGTAACAATGCTCAGAAAACCCCCTCGGGTCTCAACTCAATTATACAACTGTAGCAAGAAAAATATTTTAATCTGATCAAAGTGTTAACATGTTTGACCATGTCTGACCTCTAATGTTTGTAACCACCTAAAAGGCTGATGTTCTTACTAAGGATGTACCTTAATTTGATTTAAAGTCATTTGTACTATTTAAAAAAGGATATAGTTTTATGATTTTGTATTTCATTTAGAAAAACAGTTCCTCAGTGCATTAATGTTCTTTGGAAGTTTCTTGCAGATTTCTAACCCGAAAATCCCATATATTCTGCCCTGGGAAACACTGAACTTTTTCCAAGCATCAGGAGAGCAAAAGCAGACTCGTGCCACACGCATGTGACAGCTGAGAGCCGAGTGAGAAACGGTTCTCCTGGTGCCTTGAAAAACATCAAGACTTCAGGTGTGTTCGCAGTCTACGCTGAGATGCTCCTGACCCGTTGTGCCCAGAGCAGCCAATGGCTATTTGTGCTCCCAGAACACTGGAAACCTGAGCTCCGGCTGTTCTATCCCCAATTCCAGCATTCCCAGCCGTCCTGCTGCCCTCCCTTCTCTCTTTGCCATCTCTGCAGCCACTGATGGATACCTGTGCATGCTCAGAATGGTGCCCATCTGGCCGAGCTGCCCTAAAAAGCAGCCTGTGTTGGCAGCCCGCTGCCAGCCGAGCTGGATGCTGCTGCAGGCTGGCTCTGGCCACATCCTGCACTAGGTGAGGGCCCAGCACATCAACTGGCTCCGCGCTGCTGCTGATGTCAGGTACCCAGACATGCTCAGCGCATCACACAGGAGCAACAGCAGCACGTGTAAATAACACCAGTGGGTTTGTTTTGACAGAAAATGCAGTTTGGGTTACGGAGATGGAGGGAGCCCAGCAGGATGCCGGGTGAGCATCACCAGGGCAGGGCCAACCTGAGCAAAACAAAACCAAACCGATGCTACCAAGCAACTAAAACTGCAGAACAGCCAGCAGCACTACAGCGATGGCAGCAGGGCTCTGGGACGGCTCCAGCACTGCTCACAGCACCCCGAGCACTGCAGCAATAATGGGGCTTGCTGGTGCAGGGCTGGGCAGGGGCTCAGCCTGCAGCCTCAGGGCTGAGTGCCCTCTGCCCTTCTGCACGGTGTTCGTCAAGTAGCTAAGTGCAAAACCTCGATATCGTGCAAAAGCACTCACCTGGGTTCATGTTTTTCATTTTTTGTTTTTCAGGACTCTGAAATTAATCCTAACAGCAAACAACTGTTTCCAGGAAGCCCCATTAACCAAAAATGCCAACCATCAAACGCACGCATGACTGCAATCCATAATCCCATCCACTCACACAACCTTCCCTCCAACTCACGCTGGAACATTAATTAAATGCACTTCTGTGGAGGGTTAATATCTGGGATCTCTGGTCACAGATCTGACCTCCTCAATTACTGAAGCGGTCGCAATGCACACAGCAGCAATACAGCTGAGGGCAGTACACTGTATGGTGATGGTAAGATGTACACCGTCAACATAAACACAAGAAAAAACGGCTCGGAAATATAGACTGGAAGAATTATTGTACCAACATCAAAAACCAAAGGAATGGCCAGCCTTGAGAAAGGGGAAGATTTCTCCCCCCAGTTGCCAGTAACACATTTTTAGCACAAAACACTGAATTGGCTTTTTAATCAACATTGTTAAGAAACACCGCAGGATCTCAGCAGACCCAACCAATGCTCACTAAGGCCACAGGTGATTTTGGTGGCTCTCAGGGAATCATTCCCTCTCTGCTGCTCAGTTTTCTCCTCCGTAAGTTCCGCGCAGCCTATTCACATCTATCTGTTGCTCCAACAGTAACCTCCTGGATTTTTTACACTCTCAAGAGGAAAGGCAATTCACAAACCACAATCTGCTTTCCAGCTTAATTGCTAATAAATAGGCTGTTGGACTTTGTTGCCCATCTAGTAAGGGTTTAAGATTAAAAGAAATATCCCGCTACAATGAATAGATTAATGCAACTTTGAACTTGAACAGATTCTACACCAGAGAGCAAATTAAATGCATTTCAATGAGACAAATTTCGTATCATCAATTACAATTCATCAGTGGAGCAGCTTTGTATTTCCGAGGGGTGGAGGGAACACCTGGATCCCCGAAGAAGGGACACAAGATGGGAAACAACTGAAGAGCTGCTTGTTCTGAGAGCAGCGAGGCTGTGTCTTGCCAACACCTTTTCATGCTGGAAGATGAAGGCAACTCCAAGATGCAGAGATCCCCCCAAACTGCCCCTGATCTCAGCAGGAGCTGCACCTCCTGTGTCAGCGGGGCAATGCAAGGGTACAGCTACCAGAGGACCAGTCTCCTCCTGCCTGACCGGTGAGCAGGCTGGGGTGGGAGGACACGGCACTGATTGCCACGAGCAGCATTTTATCACACCTCATTTCCCATGCCACGATCCATCTATTTCTCATAACACCAATTTGAAATCCCTACCCCTCTTAGCAAACCAAGTGCTTACATTGAAGAGGGCATTCTAGATTCTTCGTAGCTTAAAAACTAAAATACACTGAACAATGTTCTGATCTCATCAGCCTACTGTAAATAAGGAATAACACCTGAAATGAATGCGGCAATGCTGGCTCCCCTGAAATGACACGAGCACAGCCTCTGTGTGCTGCAGCATCAGGAAATTCTAAAGTCCTGGTGGAAAATGGCAACGGGCAAAGACAGCTCTCGTACAGAAGCGTTTAATTCAATTATTCATATAGCAAAACTTTTTGTAAGCATTAAATGACAAAGAGATGCTAAAGGTGATTTGACACGAGAAGGAAAAACTTTATGGGAAGACTGGAACAGCCGTCCAGCTGCACGAGACTGAAAAAACTCCATTGCCATTTCAGAGTTTAAGATTTAAGTTGAAGATCCTCCTTCCGGGTCATCACCTACAGCAGAGCCCCAACTGGCAGCAGGCCCCAGGCTGGCCATCTCACGAGCAGATATGTCAAACTGAAGCTGAGCCACGGGACACAGCTCTGGACACCAACACCAGCAGCTGCTCACCTCCAGACCCAGATAAAGGAAGCATTTCCACATTAGAGCTTGGGATCTGACTGTCGGCAGCACAAAGGCAAGCCTAGAAAACAGGGTCTGTGAAGAAGCTCCCCCAGTAATTCAGGGAGAAGCAGCGCTCGCATCACTCCCCTTTCCATGGAACAGCACTGGGCATTTTAGACACAATTTGTCAGAAAAAAGCACATGTAGGTGCCTGCATGGTACCTGCAGCACAGTTGGGCAGTGAGAGGCCGCCAAAGGTCTCCATAAGGAGAGGATGCACTCACCAGAGGTGACATAGATCCGTTTGGCAGATAGGGGTCTGAGAGCATGAGGAAGGGGTAGCCAGAGTACGCAGATCCTTTATACATCCCTGGGTCCTGGTGCTTCATACCTGCTAAAATCAGAGTCCCCCATCACGATCTGCCTTACGACAGGTGGCTGCTCTGCCTGTCGGGGGGGACGGAAGAGGTGATGGCGTATTTGGGAGCCTTTTGGCTCCGTAATCCCAAAGGAGCGCACTGTAAGGGTGTGAGGGTCCCGGGGGAGCCGGACTGGGAGCAGGGCTGGAGGGGGCCGGGAAGGAGAGAGGAAGAGCCACGAGGATCGCCGCCACTAACCATCGTCCATGTGGTCCGGGAGCTTCTCCTGATAAACCCTCTGCGGATCCTGCACGCGGCGGATGGCCTGGATGGGAGGAGAGAGAGAGAGAGAGAAGGGCAGAGCGGGGTTGGCGGGAGGAGAGGGGGGAGCGCGCGCCGGGGGGCCGTGTGGGGCGGCCGGCTCACCTCAGGGTCCGCGGCGGCGGCGGGACTGCCGCTACCCTCGGACTCGTTCACCAGCGAGGACTTGAGATCGGCCAGATCGCGCTCGGTGAAGGCGTTCTCGGGGATCTTCTCCTCCTGCTCGCCCTCGTCCTTGAAGGCCAGCATCTCGTCGGTGGCCCCCAGGTCGTCCCCTCCGCCGCTGCCCAGTTGCGGCATGTCGCTCCCGCCGCGCAAAACTTCCCGGCAGTTTTGTTCTCACCGCGATTCCTCCTCGCGTCCGTCTGCGCGTAGGTCGGTTGTTTTTTTTTTTTTCCTCCTCCTCTCCCTCGATTATTTTGCTTTCGGAAAAAAAGACTTCGCTCCCTCTATATTTTTCTTTCTAAACTTTTTTTTTTTCCCCTCCCCTCTCTAAATTCTAACAAACTTTTTTTTTTTTTCCCTTATAAATGTTACCCCCTTCTCCTAAACTCCCTTTCGAATCTCCCTAAAAAATAATAATACAAAAATTTCCTTTCTTAAATCTTTTTCTCCCCCCCCCCCTCCCTCCTTCCCTCCCGGCAACTGGCGGGGGGCTCTGCAGCCTGCAGCCGGGCAGGCGTCGCGGGATGCCGCGCTCGACGCTGCCCCCCCCCCCGGTGCCGCCCCGCGGCCCGAGCCCCGCAAAGTTTCTCCGGGAGCAGCGGGCGCCGGCGGCAGCCAGAGGCACGGAGCGCCCGGTGCCTGTGTGCGAACGCGGCGGCGCGGCGGCCAAGGGCTGCCGACATCAAAGCGGCCGCCGGGTGATTGGCAGCGCCGGGGAGGGGCCGGGGGCGGGCGCGCACACGCACACACCCGCGCGCACACGAACCCGCGCGCGCACAGCCGAGCGTGCAGCCCGCGCGCGCGGTCGGAGAGGGGTGTCTGCCTTAAAGGGGCAGCGGGGGGAGAGAGGGGTGTGCGGTGCTGCTGGGCTGCGGGGCTGTGATGTGGTGCTGCATAGCATGGCATGGCACGGCATGGCGTGGCAGTGCATGGCAGAGCACGGCATGGCATTGCATGGTGCAGCACGGTGTGGCATTGCATGGTGCAGCACGGTGTGGTACTGCATGGTACAGCATGGCGTGGCAGTGCATGGTGCAGCACAGCATGGTACGGCATGGTGTTGCATTGCATGGTATGGCACAGCGTGGCATTGCATGGTATGGCATGGTGTTGCATTCCATGGCATGGTGCAGCACAGCACGGCATTGCATGGCACAACATGGCATGGCATCGTATAGCATGGTACAGCATAGCATGGTATTGCATGGTATGGCATGGTGTTGCATTGCGTGTCATGGTACAGCACGGCATGGCAGCACATGGCAAAGCATGGCAAAGCATTGCATGATACAGCATGGCATTGCATTGCATAGCATGGTGTGGTACAGAGCAGCGTTGCATTGCGTGACATAGTACAGCACAGCATGGCATTGCATGGTACAGCACAACACAGATTGTATTGCCTTGTATAGCATGACACAGCATGGCATGGCATGGCATTGTACAGCACAGCATTGTGTGGGGTAGTGTGGCCATGACACGGCACAGCACAGCATTGCATGGCACTACTTGGCACAGCTAGGGGCACAGTGAAGCCATGTAAGTTTGTTTGCATGCACATCTGTGTGCACATCTGTGCACTTATGTTAAGCTCTGCTTACACATCAGTGCACACATGTACACACAGATGCATGTGCACACACATTTTCATACCCAGCTCTGGCACGGCACGGCACAGCATGATAAGGCACAGTGTGGTATGGCACGGCATGGCGTGGTACAGCACAGCAAACTGTATGTGTATGTAGGTGCTGGTGTGCACACAATGCTGCACATACATCTGCATGCACGGTTCTGCACATGCAGCTGCAAATACACCTGTGTACACACATAGCTCTGTGTGCACTCTTCTTTGTGCACACAGCCTGTGCATGTGCTGGTGCACACTGCTGCTGTGCTGCTCACACTATCGGTGTGTGTATGCCCACACGCACCAATACACACACAAGGACTCATGGAATTTCCTGAGTTGGAAGAGACCCACAGCGATCATTGCATCCAACTCCTGGCTCACCATCAGCACTCACTGCACACTCCTGACACACACCAGCACTTGCACACCTGCACGCACCACTGCACACAGCAGCACCAACCAAGACACAGCTGCCCGCAGCAGCATGCACAGCCCCACACGAGCACACGCAGCTGCACGAGCGCTGCACACTCACAGCTGCTCACAAATGTTCCAGCACGGATCAGAGGGCAGAAGTCTTTGCACACATCTGAAGGCGCACACGTGTGCTCGCGCAGCAGTGGCACTTCCACACAGGCACTGCACATGTGGGTGCACACACGCACACCCTGCCACGCACTGCTGTGCAGCCCCCAGCCCTGGCTGCGGTGTTGCAGAAAATGCTCAACCCTGAGTGGCCCCGAGGGTCGGGAAACCCGAAATGAACATCTTTGCAGCCAATGTGAAGGCAGCAGACACTTCTGTGTCGGCGTCAGATTTTTTGTGAGGCAGTTCCCATGGAAAAGGAAACTCCCCATCTCCTCTGATCGCGTACGACAGGTCCTGTGCATGTCTCCGGTAGCTTGAAAAAACACACCGATATTTATTTTCCTTAATTAAGATTGCATAAGATAGCCCTGGGTCCTGGAGACTTTTCTACAGACTGTAATGACGCCATGTAAATTGTTTTTTATGACCCAATATACTACATATTGTCGCATTCAGCCCTTGAATAGGAAGCTAAAAATCTCGGTCCCTATTTTTCTTGTTAATTAGGGTATTATTACTATGGATATAATCTCATTACTTTTGGGGGAGGAGAAGAACTAGTCAGAGCCACTTTGAGAAGTGCTGAATGTATTTAAATGAAGCAAAATCCGTCTTTCTGCTAATTGCTGCTCTTGCACAGTGCTCTTATTTCGGGGGCTGAAGGAGATGGGATGGGGGGGGGGAGGCACAGCGTGCATCTCTGCTTCCCCAGCCCATAGCAAACTCCATCTGTGGATTTCCATCCTTTTAAACATCACTAAAAAAAATAAAATAAAATACGCTGCAGCCTCTCGGAGCGAGAATGATTTGAATGAAATATTTGCTGCTTTCAGATTTTTTAATTTTTTTTTTTTTTTCCTTTTCAGATGATCCTCTTGTTTTGCATGTGAAAAAAATCGTCTGAGATTTACAGCCCTCCCAAACGGAGATAAAGCCTTGGCAATGAGTTGGAAACCTGTTGTAATCTGTGATCCAGGAAACAAAGAGCCTCATTAATGCAGAGACTTTGGTGAGCCTTTGATGTTAGCTAGCATAGCATTCACTCTCGGTTCCATTTGCATTTAAACATTCATAAAAACATCATCTCTGCTTCCTTTGCCTTAAGCAATTTAGGAGTAAAGTATAGCTTCTATTTAAAGAAACCCACTGTGGTGAGGCTCAGAATACAAATATCACATAATCTTCAAGCAGAGCAAATATTTTATCCTACATTTCTGGTGGGCACGTTTAATAATGTTATATTTAAGACCCAAAATAAAAGATCTGTCTTATTTTCATTAACCTTACACCACAATTCGAGGGAAAAGAGAAAAGGGGCCCGGTTCATCCTAAATGTGCTGCATGCCAGTTTGGGGAAGGAAGGGAACGCGGAGGATTTGACATTATTCACAGGAGCTGCATTTTGACAAGCGGGACGCCTGCAGCAAGGTGCCCAAATCCCTGTTCAGACACACGGCCATGGAAATTTTAGAACAACTTTTTATGGGTTTTATTTTTTTTTGTCTTCTGAACCATGGAATCGTCATCCTGGGGTTATAACTAACGTGAAAATAAAAAGCAGCACATGCCCAATGCGTGGGGCTTTTTTCCATGAGAAGTCACAGGCATCAGAGAGCGGGGAGAGCAGGGAACTGGGGGCATCGCTCTGGAAACAAGGGCCTGCCCACCACAGTGCTTTCAACAGCATTGTTCAGCAGTGGAGTGGGGCGAAATGCACCTGAGTCAGGCTGATGTGGCATTGGGAATCCCCAGCTTTGGTGTCCACACCAGTGTCCCATTATCACAGCAGTGTGAGCTACGGGTGGTCCCACATCACATCGGGGGCTCCTTCTGTGCTGCAAGCAAACACGAGGGAACCTCCAGGTTGGGTGAGTCAGTTCAGCCAGAAGGTGTTTCAAGCGTTCTAAGTGAGTTTCCTATACAGTGAATATCCAAAATTGAAATGGAAAACACTTAAAAACAACTTTACCTTGGATAAAATATTTCTGGAGCTGGATCAAAGGAAAACAGAAAGCCTGGCTCGCTTGTCAGATCCTATCTGCAGTGAACTTCAAGGTTTGAGTTGTATTATTTACATGGAAAAGGTCCCAAGAAACCAATTTGGCACTAAGTATCTTCATTACGTTTTTTCGCTTGTATGGGTGATTAAATCAATCTAGGGTTCCTATTTTAATTTTTTTTTTTCTGAAAGGTGCAGCCATCTGTGAACTGAGGAACTTTTCTGATGTCATCTCTGTGCCTCAGACACACACTCCTTGCTTTTTTAATAAGGAGACACTTAAAACAAGGGAGTATATTTGTTCTCACTAGTAGAGCTTCTGTCTTTCCTGTAAGTGTGCAGAACTAAAGGTGTGTAACAACCTTTTAGAAATATAGTAATTGTGACACCTGTGGGTAACTGTGGTCTGCGCTCACCTATAGCCCAGTCCGTCTGTCTGTCAGTCTGTCCATTCCCTGTCCTGCACTTGTCAGCACACAGAAGGACATTGTATGGCTTCACCGTGTGCGTTCCATTGAATGAAGCCTCCTCCAAAGCCAATGTAGATGGTGCTGCTGGCTCCTCTTAGAGTGGAGTTTCACCCTCTGCTCCTCAAAAGGGACTTCAGATGCAAGCACTCAGATTTATTTAATTTAGTTTATCTGCTTTCTCAGTGTTTCGTTCATTTAATAGGAGCAGTTTGGATTACTCTCTCTGGACACACTTCATCCTCTCCTATATGCCTATTTAATGCAAGGACCACATCTACCACTGGCAGGCTGACCATCCCCATCTGCCTTCCTATCTCATCGCATCCGGAGCCGATACATTTCCCCGATACACGTCTACATGCTTCAAACAATGCTTTGATTCAAGAACAGCTTTCTCAGCCTGTTTTTCATAGCCAATTAATCAGTTCTTCACTAACAGAGGAACCTCCTAAATATTTACCATTCTCTCTGAGAAACACATGCACGGGTGCCCCGTAAGGACGGCCTGATTGATAGATTGGCAGCGTGGATTTTTCTGATGAGAAGGAAAAGCTCCTGCTTGTGTTCCGGCAGGGAGCTCCTGGAGGACGGGCTGCTACCAGCTGAACTAATCCTGGCAAGTGACCAGCGTAAATCAGGCCACTAAAAGCTCTGTTTTGCCCAAAGGGGTTTACACTGGTATAATTACTTTGGCGTAGTCATAGCAGGAATATTTCCTTAGTCTAGACAAGCTCTAATGGGTAAAATAGATTTATCGTTTGCAACTGAAACAATTCAACCCAGCGAAGACAGCACAAAGCCGCGCTGCCTTCCTTCCACTTTGCCAGCCCCTGGTGCTGGGTGCAGCAGGGCTCCGATCTGGAGCCCCTCCGCCTGTAGGTCTGTGATAGAAAAAAGGGGAAAAGCAATCACTCATACATTTTCCTGCTTGTTTCACTCTGCCCATCTTA